ATTCCTTCTTCAGCCAGCGCAAAAATGAAAAGGGTTGGAATCATAATCGTTCCACCCATTTTCAATCCTACACTGGCAATTTGATGTAAACAAGGAGAAAACCAAAATAGATGTCGAAGTGAGGAGAGAAACGGAAAATCTGTCAAGGGTGTCAAAGGAGAGCAAATCTAAAAAGGCGACCGAAGTTATTGCACAAAAAAAATATAAACTCACGTTGGTTAGCAGCTGCAGAAGATCAGTGTCTCAGTGATTAGTAGTAGCCGCAGTAATAAAGAAGTGAATATGTAGGCAAAATAGAGGAATTCAGAGGTAGGGGCGAACTTGGGGAAAATCTTATTGAGGGGAGACGAAGATAATGGGGTTTAAACAGAGCAGATCTGAAGAATACAGTAGCAGTGAATACAGCAGCGTAGAACAGAACCCGAATACAGCAGAACAGCAGGAATCCAGAGTAGAATAGCATCGCTCACAGTTGAATAATCCTTTGTCAACGAAAAAAAGCCGTCATCGATCGACAATGGAGGGCTAGAGCCGTTGGTCCCGCGACGAACAATACAGTAACCTGAAATTCAAACCGTAATAGCGCGAAAAACTCGTCCGGAGAACTCGTCCTGAGTTTTTTCCGGTGTACTTTTAGCGGCGAGTGTGCCCCACTGACTTTACACAAACCAAACTTTGTGCTAACCATCAAATATTCAGTCATTTAATTGTAATGGGGTTAAGTAACGCTAGTTACAGGTAGAAAAACTTCTCCATGGAGTGCCATGAATGTCTGGTGTGTTCACGAACAGAATCATTGTTTTTTTCTATTCCGTGACATTTCGCTGGCAGAACTTCAGGTCCAATCATGGTCAGCGAGTGACCTGAGTTTCCTGCAGCGAAAAAAATGTTTGACGGAAAAGCGAACTGGGAAGTCGCTCTCTTTGTCACTAGTGAGCCACACCCTGATATAGCATTGGGTGCTAAGTGGGTTGGGGGGCCACGCGGCGGCGCGGCAGTCTGCTCGCCTGGCATGTTCGGAAATCCGTGGGCCAGGGGAGTGTAGCAGTCTAGGGGGGTGGGGGGTGGGGCAGTCACTTGACATGCGTGAAAAGCTGGAATGTTCGAGTTTACACTGTCTCGCTCGAGAGAGCCCAGGTGAGCAGACTGCCGCGCCTGCCGCGTGGTCTCCCCAACCCTACTTAGCACCGTTTTGGCTACACTCCCCCTGGCTCACGAATTTCCTGTTGCCGCAACGCCGCGCGCGGCGGCTGCCCCCCCCCCCCCCCCCCATTGCTTCGGAAGTTCATGGGTGCAGCATGATATACGCGTTGTGGTTCACTAGGACAGAAAGCGACTTTTTCGCGTTTCGCGCGCGAAACATTTTTCGCTGCAGGAACTTCAGGTCCACATGATCAGCGGTGGACCTGAGGTTCCTGCAGCGAAAAATGTTTCGCGCTGCGAAACGCGAAAAAGTCGCTTTCTGTCCTAGTGAACCACACCCTGATATAGCATTGCAGGACTGTGAAAAGATCTAGAGATCATACCCTGTTTTAGACTTCATACACCATGGGTGTGGTTCACTATGACAGAAAGGACTTTTTCGCGTTTCGCAGCGCGAAACATTTTTCGCTGCGGGAACCTCAGGTCCACCGCTGATCATCAGTGGACCTGAGGTTCCCGCAGCGAAAAATGTTTCGCGCTGTGAACGCGAAAAACGTTTCGCACTGTGAAACGCGAAAAGTCACTTTCTGATCTAGTGAACCACACCACACCCATACTCTATTGCGCGTGCATTTTCACGGGCTCTTGAAACCATTGTGTTGTTTTTCATCCTTTTTTACGTTTCATGCAATTGCATATATTCTGAAAATATTTGTCCACATTGGTCCTGTCTGTTCCCTCGCGTTCTTCGCTGCTTTACTTCTTGCAAACGCTCGCGATTTTAGTGAGTCCATATGACAACGACAACATGTCCCTATCCTGATCAACAAATTGGCTTCGATAATATATCGTTTTGGACAGGATTTCATGCCAGGTCATCGACTTTTTTATTATTTACAAGTGTATGTCTTATTGATCTATAATAGTCAGTTGATGTAATTTTTAGGCAGCAGAATAGCCAAGTTTCTTCCAACTCTATTCAAGTAGACCAGAACGCGGACGCCTGGACGTGCTGCTGCCTCTGAGTAATTCTACAATTTCGTCCAAGTTTTAGAGGAGACAAAAACCTGCCATTGTAAGACGGCCCCAAGATTTTTTTTGTGGAAGTCTGGGTGGAAAAGAATTAGTATTACCTTTTTTCTTACGGAGCTAGTTAAAGGTTTTTCGTGCTTAGGACCGAAGCAGGCTAAATTAGGTGTGAGAATTCGGAGGTCATAACGTCACCTGCATTAGCCAAATAAAAAGTCAAATCATTGTTAAAGGAAGGGTTGGTGTTCTTTGAGTTGAATAATACTCCGGAAGAAGTGAGATGCTAATAAGTGACCTGAGATCATAACCTTACAATAAGGATCTTTTTTTCAGTGTGTAGAAATAAGGTCAAAATTTCGAAGAAAAATTGTAATAGGCAGAAAACAAACGCCTAGAAAATACAAATATTTCCCTTTTCTTCAGAGAACCATCGTAATTAGTCGATTGCTCCACATACACCGAAATGAAGAGTACCCGCCTTTTCGCACCTAATTACCTACACTGCTTCGCACCCAAGCGCGGACCAACCCTATTTGGGTGCGTAATGGGAAAGGCTGTCTCTTTATTTATCCCTGGGATTCTGCGGTTGTCTGCATTTGTACAGAAAGATCACACTTCTGGGTTTACCGAGGGCTATTTCAGTGAGAAACAACAGAATAGTTTGCAAGTCTTTGCTTCATAACTTTCACAAATCATCACGTTTAGGAAGAAAACAGATAGCCGTAAGCCAATTAACTTTTTTATGCTCACATGTAATTTACTGACTGGTTTCATTTCACCTAGACTCGGGAAAGAGTTATACTCATTGTTCCATTGTTCTCACCATTCTCCTTCTCTGCTCATAGATGACCCTTGGATGTTGTTGTTTATTTTCACCTGCACTTTTTGTTCTTTGAAAACATCTCCTGTTTTTCTTTTGCCGTTCTGCTTGTTATACATTCTGAAAAAGTAGTACCACCTGTTCTTACATTGTTTAATGCAGTAGGCTGGTGTCAGAGTCCGCGATCCGTCGCAGGTTTCGCTGATTTTCGCGATTTGCGCGATTCACGCGATTTGCGCGATTTGCGCGAAACCTGCGACGGATCGCAAAAATTGCAAGTGTGTGAACATTTGAAACACTGAATATGAAACAAGTGGAATCATGAGCAGTCGTCATTCAGCCATCACTATCAAGCAGAAGTGGCGGCAGGATTGGAGAACACCTTGCAGTATTGATCGGGCACTTGTGATTTCCGTGACCCGTCGCGTGAAATCGCGAAAATCGCGAAAATCAGCGAAACCTGCGACTAGATCAACTATTAGGACCCCAAAACTCGATTATTATTTTTCGTGAAACTCGCCTATAAGTAAGTTTGGGGCGCTGGGCGTCTGATTACGAAAAGGAGGGTTTCGGTATTTTGCGCGCGTTTGGTGCTGCATTTGGTGCGCTTAGTTTGGTGTTTTCACAAGGGTCGGGCGTTTGTAAACTTTATTCAAGTGAGTGTGGTTGATTTGATGTGTCGTCTGATGTCAGCGGAGGGATTAAGGTGTTGCTATGGTGTTGGGCGCTGCGCCCAAGTGCGCGCCAATGGTGTGGTTCACCAAATTCTCGGGTAAACTTGCATCATAGGGAGTTATTTGGGGTCACTATTCACAAATATAATACATTTTTGTGTCCCTCCAGCCGTTCGCTGTGGGTTGGTCTCGTCGGCTGTGGTTTCCGTCGTCTGGGCGTCCTCACTGGATCACCTGTTGCTGCATGCTGGGTTGTGACGTAGTAGCCTTGAGGATTGAGAGTGCCCTCCGAAGTGGCATATACACTATAGGTCTGGTGGTTATACCTGGTCAGACGTGGCCAGGAGTGGTTGGACGTAGGTTCTAGCCTACCCGGAGTCCTCCCTCCTTCTAGGCTCAGTCCTAGGTATTATGTACAAGTGAGAGGACCCAGGAGAATGGAAAATGTGCGTTGAACGGTGGAAATGCTAAAAACGAATGACATATCCGTAATCAGGACCCTAAATAACCCCTATGTGCAAGTTTACAGCGAATTTGGTGAAAACACCCTTGGCGCCAAATTGGCGCCAATTGGCGCCAAATGGCGCCAGCGCCAAAAATGAACCTCATTTTCGTGATCAGGGCACCGAATTACCCCTATAGGCGAAGTTTCGACGAAAAAATAAAATTTTTGAGTTTTTGGGCGGTCGTAATAGAGTTGAATAGTGCCGCGAAAACCTGCGACGGATCGCGGACTCTGACACCAGCCTATAGAATGCGATGTTCCCAAGAGTATCACTTCAGTTGCGGGACAGTGAAGAACGCCTATTCCACGATCAGTGAAGCATATTCCATTTCATGAATGTATTATTTTACTAAGAAACGATGTGTTGTAGATTTGGGAACGATATTATAAAAAATTTGATTACAAACACTGTAGTCACTGTTTGCATGCCCCCAACATGCATGGGTAAAGGTAATGGTTGCCCTCATTGCGACTTAGTATAGGTAATTAAGAAGCGTAGTAGTCTTACGATCTACTATTCTTGTTGTTGAACAACTGAAAACGGTTCTTTCTTTGCCACACTTTGATCCGGGCCTTGATCTTCAGATCTCGTTATTGGCTACGGGTGACGACGCCCGTCACTTCCCGAATGTTGGTTATTTTTCCACACTACTCGCATTGATGTTGTCTGCTTTATTCATCTTAGTAAACACTCATCACAACAGAAATAAAAGAATAAAGTTGCTTAGATTTTCTACTTTTCGTAAAACAAACCTCTTACTGACTTAAGATCAGACAAAACGGGTTACGCGCTTAATAGAAGCTCAAAAGTAATGGATGTTATAACACATTACTTCGCCATGAACTCATTGTTATGATCTTCGTTCGAGGGAACGGCCGAATGATCCCCACTGCCATTATTTTCCTGACCTCCGGTGCGAATCTTCTCGATGGCTGCTCTGCGTTCTTTGACCTTGTTCTGGTATTCCTCATTGCGGCGGAACCCTACAACGTATACTTAATAGTTGTAGCTCAGCTCTTAGGACACACTGGTTCATCTCTTGAGAGTTAAACCTCTCTGACATCTTAAAAATACTCACATTCCACAATGCGTTCCATATATCCCATTGGGCCAGCCTTGTTGAAAGTAGGTGGAAATCCTATCGGCCCGAATTTCGTCGGCGTGCTATTGTCGTTGGTCACAGAAGAAGAACATTTAAGATGTGGGCGATTGTCCGCCATCGTAACGACCTAAACACGTAGAAGAAATCGAGTGAACAGCAGCCGGGAACACTAACATTAACAATACTACCAAAACTGCAGTAGCACGCCACACTTACTACCACGTCATCGCAAATCTGCGTATCACAGTGATTGATTGTTTCTAACGTGATAGTACAAGTGACCAGTCAAACCATTCGAAATTGTGCTTGAAGCGGTCATTTTAAGATTGTGAGGGTTTCTTCTTTCATCAGAAAACCCTTTTTAGGGTGATGCGAAAATTTTTCACTGCAAGCTTTGCTAAGCCTTACGCTATAATGGAACAGTCTACAAAAGAGGCCAAGCTATAGCATTGTTTGTGAGAATCGTCATTACTATGTACTTACTATGTTGTCATCTCAACAGTAGCGGCACCTTTGTAGTTAATGTCTCATTAATTCATTCTACTAACCTCGACCACTTAACTTTTCGAGATATTATAATAGATTCTGCGTAAACAACTTGAAATAAGGACATACCTCAATGGGACTTTCTTCTGACATCTCGACCATGATCCTAACTGCTTTATGGAGGTGCGGAAACTTGAATAATATCGTTTGGCGCCTCCACGAGCCTTTCACATTGATTTTTAATGCTTATTGATCATGCACCTCACACGGGGGTCGACTGCCAGGGTCAACCCTATCGTTGTTACTTATTAGGTCGTGAAGAAAGTTCTTGCGTTTTCGGTGTTTCGTTTCGA